CACACACACACACACACACACACACACACACACACACACTAAACACACACTGAACCGCAGCTCTTTGTTTTCAGGATAAATCAGTTTGTTTGAATCTCTGAACTCAATAATCTGTAGTTTAATGAAAAACTCCTGGAGGGAAGAAAAACAAAGCAATTCCTGTTGCTTTGTTGGTTTAGGATCAATTTACATATTTTACCTTCAAAAAGTGATGCCCTTCACAATAATAGCATGCAAATCATGAGAATAAGGGACTCTAACACCTGAATCCCTTCAAAATAAGAGCCTATTTACAAAAAGAGCCCCTAAAAATCTGACAAACTTCACAATAAGAGCATCTAACACCTAACCTTTTAATATTAGTCTTTAACATCGGAAACCCTTCAAAATAAGAGTCCTTGACACCTGACACCCTTCAGTAAAATGTCTCTAACACCTGACAAACTTCACAAAAAGTGGGCGGAGCTAAAGACCAGTGAACCCACATCAGAGACTTGAGAAAGCAGTGGCTTGGGCTCATCTTCAGCTCCTTCACTTTGTTCTTGGGGATTATAACCTTCTCGTTTTCCTCACAGCAGAACCCACCCGACACCAGCCCTGGACGTTCCGGAGCTGTGGACACAAACAGAAGTCAGCACCGACCCGACTCCCAGACGAGTCGACACAAGCAGAGGTTCTGAGCTTACCTGCAGAGCTGTGATACATGAAACAGAGGAGAGCCAGGAGGCTGAGAGTCACCAGAGTCTTCATGGTTCTTCCACACTACAAAAGTTCTGTTGGGATGGAGGCTCAGGTTCTGCAGGACGACTCCGACCTGCTGGGTTTATATCCAGCTGTCAGACCCAAACAACCTCGTTCCTGCTCAGTGGGGTTCTCAGAAAGCAGCAGCTTCCTCTTTTCTCCAGTTCAGACTTGATTTCCTGCTCTGCAGAGAAAAGCTCCGGTTCTGAAGAATCTCAGGAGTTCTGCTAAAAGTCTTCCTGAGAAGGAGTGGGGATTTTCACTGCTGCTTCAAGCTGAACCGGGCCCAGTTCATCATTGTTAGACCCTGCTGCTCACCTGTTCAGGTGTTGCTTCACATTCACTCAGTTAATCAAGAGAGAGGAGCTGCCTAACAAATGATTTCACATCTAAACACCAGGAGGAGGACTGAACACTGCTAATTGTTTGTTCCTAAAACCTAAAACATTTATTTGATAAGGGTGATGTTGTGTTTCTTTACCTGAAAAAAAGCTTTTGATTCTGTAAATCATAAAATATTATTGACCAAATGAAGTAAATTCAACTTGGAGCTCAGTCACTTAGAATCAGAGACAACATTTCACCTTCTCTGTTTGTCGACAGGTGTTCCACAAGGTTCCATTCTGGGGCCTTTGTTATTTTCTCTATATGTAAATGACCTTCCTCCAGTTTGTCTTAATATCTTCAGTCAAATGTACAAAACAGTCATTCACACACATGGTGCAAACACAATTCAAGTAATCAATGAACTTACACAGTCTGTGGTTAATGAATTAGATTGGTTAAACCAGTCTAGCGCATCCCCTCAACTCTGCTAGAGTCAAGACCTGCTGTGAGGATCCAAGACCTGGACTAAAGATCAGGTAAGACAATAAAAAAAAGATAAGATGAGATCAGATAAGTGTTTATTGTCATTGTACAGAGCACAATGAAATTACAGTTCAAAACAGCCATTCAGAAGAAGACCGAACATAAACATAGGAGAACAGGTGCTCTGGGTCATGCAGCCACAGACACTGCACAGAGCAAGGATCATCTTCATGAAGACATCATGAGGAGGCGCTACCCTTAACAGAAAAACTAAAAACCACACAAGGATAGATGAGGAAAAAAACTAAACATCACATTATATCAACAATGTGACACTATGGTGTTTATAAAAACCTCTGCATAGAGCAGGTTTATTAGCCAGAGGAGTAAGTGAGTTTAGGGCGGTGTGTATCTGAAGCCATGAGTGTTGATGCACTTGTGTGAAAAAGAGGTCCAACAGTCAGTCAGAACCTTTCTTCCAGCAGCCTGGAGTCAACTTTCTCACAAAGACTAAAAACAAAGAACCACCTGAGTCCGGCTGCAGGWCCACTTCTCATTTCTAAGGTTTTTCCAGAACCACTTCCTGTCCAACCAGAAGTCTTCCTCTGTCCCCTCTTGGGGTTCCTCCCAGGCTGGACTCCTCCTGTCTCCAACTACAGAAGCTGAAGTCCTTCTGGCACTGATGATGATGATGATGATGATGATGATGATGATGATGATGATGCAGAGGATTCATCTGAGTGTCACTTTGACACCTGTGTCAGAAACCAGCAGCTGAAGCTTCCTGTTTCTAATCTTTAGTTTAATCTGAACTGATTTTTAGATGATGGGATTAAAAGTTGTGTTTCAGGCTCCCTCTGCTGCTGTGGCTCCATCTGGCCACCAGGTGTTGCTGTTCTCAGTCAGACTGAAGCTTCGGCTTTTTATTCAGAAGGAGAACCAGATGAGGCCCAAAAGGCTGATGAATTAAAGGCGGTGGATCAAAAACACCGTCCATCTAGAAAGAACTGAAGACAGAACCTCCAGGATGTTGATGCTTCATCTGAACAGAATGAGTTTCAACTGATTCTGTCCTGAGAGCTGAGTTTATTTAGAAAACTTCCAGTCCCAGCTGTCCCAAAGCTCTGAAAACCACAGAGCAGAAATATTAACAGCTACACATACTGATGCTGAACATCTGCTGAAAGCTGGTGAAACACCTAAAACTGAGGGCTTCAAACTAACACAACAGAAGCTGAACAGTGGCTGAAGATGAGCTAAAGATGAGCAGAGATTAAACACTTAAATCAGCAAAACAAACATTGGTTTTAAACCAAAAAATGCTACAGCTAAAATTAGCTAAACATAGCTAAAAGCTAATCAGGATGAAACAAATCTTTAAAAGAATTTTTTTTAAAACTCAGAATAATGTTGGTCAGGAAAACTCAAAGTCAAAGCAGACTTTTCTGAAACGAGCCGAGCGTTTGGTCGGCTCGTCAAGGTGGTTTATCTTCAGCTACAGAACCATTTAGAGCTGAATGGAATTTATGAGAAGTTTCAGTCTGGTTTTAGGTTCCGTCACAGTACTGAAAAAGCTCTTCTCAGGGTGTGTAATGACTTGCTTTGAACTGTAGGTTCTGGTGCTTCTGCTGTTTTGATTCTTTTAGATCTCAGTGCTGCCTTTGACACAGTGGATCATGAAGTTTTAGTTTGGAGCAGTCAGTTGGGTGAAAGGCTCAGCTCTTAAATGGTTTGAGTCCTATTTATCTGATTGGAGTTTTTCTGTACATATTGGAGATTTTTATTCCTGGGGCTCCTCTTAAATGTGGGGTACCTCAAGACTCCATACTGGGCCCCATTTTATTTTCTATTTATTTGCTCTTACTGGGGTCCATCTTCAAGAAATACAATGTGTCATTTCATTTTTATGCAGATGACATTCAGATTTATTTACCTTTAAGATCTGGTGGACCTCAGCATGTGGAGAATCTGCAGAATTGCTTAAAGGATGTTAAAAGTTGGATGGAGCTAAACTTTCTTTGTCTAAATGAAAATAAAACAGAGGTCATTGTTTTGGCAAAACTGACCTGCTGGTAGGATTTAACAGTTTGGATTCTGATTGTCATTTTATTAAGAATCTTGGAGTTGTTTTAGACAACAATTTTAAACTTGACAAGCAGGTCAGTGCAGTGGTCCGGTCTAGTTTTTATCATTTAAGGCTCATCAGTAAAGTCAAGCCTTATCTTCCGCATGATACCGTTGAGAGGATTATTCATGCTTTTATTTTCTCCAGACTGGATTATTGCAATACCCTATGCAGTGGGATTGACCAGTCTCTGCTCCACCGTCTTCAGTTGGTTCAGAATTCTGCTGCTCGTTTGTTAACGGGGACCAAACTTGGGGGTTTGTAAAGTGCTGTATGAATAAAGTTTTGATTGATTGAGCATTTGAATCTCTGAGGAGCTAAAATAACTCAAAGTATCAGGAAGTAGTTTTGGTCTGTGGAGCTCCAGGAGGACTGAAGGGACCTGGGTCTGATGGTCCGACTGGTTCTGGATCACTGCTGTGGAAGAACTGATCCATGAGTCGGACTCAACCTGAGTCAAGTCTGAGCGGTTCTGGACAGAAAGCGGACTGAGAGACCGGGTCACCTTCAGCTGGTTTGACTGTCAGCTGCAGCTGAAGCAGAGCTGAAGTCCAACCCCTCCAGCTCTTCGTAGCACAGACGCAGAAAGCTGCAGGACGGAAACATTCAGACAAAGTTTCAGTTCCAGTGCAGATCTAAAGATACAGCCGAGTTCTGTTGGTTCTGTTGGACTGCAGAGGAGCTGTTGGAGGTGATGACCTTACGGCTTCACTTTCACATAAAGGGAGACTCAAACTTTTACTTCCTCCTCTGGTTCCATGAAGGAAGCAGACATTAAATGTTGGAGCAGCTCTGATTCTGCAGAACATGAAGACTGGAAGTTCAACTATCGGGTAAGAGAACTGTCAGAATCATTGTATGTGTAAGAGTCTAAATTTGTACATGTAAGTCTATAAACGTACATAAATTTGTTATAAATACAAAGTTACAAATACAAGTTAAAATGTTACAACTTTGCCACATTACAAGTACGAATCAAATTTACAAGTACAATTGTTTTACCTGTCAAAATAGACATTATGCATGGAACACTCGATTGCAAACAGTAACTAAGTCAGACCACTAGGGGGACATGACCACTGCCTCATTTGGGACCAGATAAACTCTTTATAAAAACAACAATTTGCTGAAGGGAAAAGTATTTGGAGCCTTTTCAGTTTGTCATTCATGTCATGTAGTACAACAATAAAGTAGATAGTGGATTTATGATGAAATATTTTATTTTATTTTTACTTTAACACTGTCTGATTTCCTTTTTTAAAATATTTTATTAAATTTCTTAAACAGAATCCTGCTTTTATGATAGTCTTTTTTGAAGATTTATTTTATTTTTCTATATTCTTATTTCTCTTTTGCACTTTGTCAAAATGTTTTGTTTGTGTAAAGCACTGATTTGTCTTGTTGCTGAAACGTTTTATATAAAGCTGCCTTGCCTCAGGTCAGCAGCACAATAATTAATATACAGTGGAGTGATGATGAAATGTTCCAAATTATTTATAGACCATATTTTTTAAGTAACTTTTCTTTAACTTATGATACTGTTAACACTACTCTACTGTACACTACTACTGAAGACTGGAGCCAGGTGGAGAACAAATCTTCAGATGGTTGAAGTACAGGTGGAGACGTCTTCATGACCTGCAGAACATCAGGACTGATGCTGGAGCTTTCTGCAGAACATCAGGACTGATGCTGGAGCTTTGATACATGTGTACATTAAGGTGTCAGAAACACTCAGAAACACCACGACAGGCCAGAGCAGGGAGATGAAAATGAATCAATGAAAATATTAATTTCATTTTAGTGACCATTGAAAGAAATATCTGTAAAAAAATTAATTTTAATAAAAATGAAGTATTTATGTCACAATGTAGTAGTAATAATAGTGGTACACTATATTGTGTGTTAAAACGTGTTGAGTTATTTGCGATACATTTCATTAAACATTTTAACAATTTACTGCTCCCCTTTTTTTTACTATTTTCATTGTTTCCTCTATCACTCACGGCTCATAGGTAAAAACAAAAGTGTTGAATATTTAAAAATTTATTTATTAAAGTAAAACCATCAGGACCCCCTGTTTCTGTGTGATTATTGCATCACCCTGTTTTTTATGACCCTCAAACTGCATTGACTCTTGTACAACAAGGCATTCCTGGGTCACAGCTTTCAGAACAGTTTCTCTTTCACCCAGCTATTATGAAGAGTAAACAAAACCTTGGTCAAATCGACCTATTTCCTGGAATAAAACAATCATTATGTGTTATTTCTCTAAATGCTTTCTACTGTATAATACATACGCATTGGCCTTTACTTCATTTGGATGAGAAGTATAACTATACACCGTTCTGACACCTGTCCTATACTGTAGTATGTGATCCATCACACCTGCACATGATACAAATCCCTTCACGCTCCAGGAGGAAACATCAGATGTATGTGTTAAAGATGCAGCTGTCAGGAAAAAGAGAAATCGGGGAGGTCTGGATGTAGAGAACACAGAGTGTAGAGTAAGGTGGAGGAGGACGACTTGCTGAAGAGAGAACTGAAAGAAGTTTGTGTGGCTCGATGGCACCCTCTTGTGTTCAGGGACTCATTTGTGGGCAGAGTCCAACTGAACCTGGCTGTACACCCCTTCAACGTATTTGAACATAAGTTGTCTTCTTGTGCATTGTATCCATGAAGTCAGGACTGAGGACAATCTGTAAGGAACACTGTCAATGAGGAGACACCAACATTGCTGAGACACCCTGATTGGCCAAGAGACAGCATAAGAGGAGATCAGTACAAGAATATAAACTCTGTCCTGCAGGTTTGTACCAACATGTTGGAGTGACTTTAAACAGAGTACAGATCCATTAATTCAGATGTGGATCATAAAGTCAGGTTAATGTACACAGAAGGGCTTCAGTATACGTTTAACAAAATATAGGGATCAGATTGTTGTTTTAAAATCTGTTTTTGTGAATAATAATTATTATTCAGTTGTAAAGTAAAGTTAATGAGCTGTATCTGTCCTGACACTGATAATATCAGTGGAGTTTGTACTGTTAAGTCTAAAGAACACACAGAATAAACACAATGGTTCATATGTAAAACTATTCATGTCTGCTAGCAAAATATCTCATGAACCATTGTACAGATTTTAATAAAACCTTAAGGAGATAATCTCTGGAAGTATATTTACAACTGATTAACGTTTAGACCCAAACCCAACATGGCTCCACAGCCAGTTGACTTTCAGAAAACACCTCTTTATAATTTATTTCTGACAGTTCTGCAGGTATTGGTCTGAAGTCTGGAGTGGCAGTTACTAACCTGAAGGACATTTTGTAATTGATTAATTGAATATTAGATGCATTAATGTATTTTATACTTCCTGATCATTGCAGCCTTTACAGTGGGGAAAATAAGTATTTAGTCAGTCACCAATTGTGCAAGTTCTCCCACTTAAAAAGATGAGAGAGGCCTGTAATTGACATCATAGGTAGACCTCAACTATGAGAGACAAAATGTGAAAAAAAATTTGAGAAAATCATTTTGTCTGACTTTTAACGAATTTTTTTGCAAATAATGGTGRAAAATAAGTATTTGGTCACCTACAAACAAGCAAGATTTCTGGCTGTCACAGACCTGTAACTTCTTTTTTAAGAGGCTCCTCTTTCCCCCACTCATTACCTGTATTAATGGCACCTGTTTGAAGTCGTTAACAGTATAAAAGACACCTGCCCACAACCTCAAACAGTCACACTCCAAACTCCACTATGGTGAAGACGAAAGAGCTGTCGGAGGACACCAGAAACCAAATTGTAGACCTGCACCAGGCTGGGAAGACTGAATCTGCAATAGGCAAGCAGCTTGGTGTGAAGAAATCTACTGTGGGAGCGATAATCAGAAAATGGAAGACATACAAGACCACTACTAATCTCCCTCGATCTGGGGCTCCACGCAAGATCTCAGCCCGTGGGGTCAAAATGATCACAAGAACGGTGAGGAAAAATCCCAGAACCACAAGGGGGGATCTAGTGAATGACCTGCAGAAAGCTGGGACCAATGTTACAAAGGCTACCATCAGCAACACACTACGACGCCAGGGACTCAGATCTTGCCCGTGTTGCCCGCCGACAGCCCCAAAACATCACTGCTCTAGAGGAGATCTGCATGGAGGAATGGGCCAACATACCAGCAACAGTGTGTGCCAACCTTGTGAAGACTTACAGAAAACGTTTGACCTCTGTCATTGCCAACAAAGGATATACAACAAAGTATTGAGATGAACTTTTGTTATTGACCAAATACTTATTTTCCACCATTATTTGCAAAAAAATTCTTTAAAAGTCAGACAAAATGATTTTCTCAATTTTTTTTTCACATTTTGTCTCTCATAGTTGAGGCCTACCTATGATGTCAATTACAGGCCTCTCTCATCTTTTTAAGTGGGAGAACTTGCACAATTGGTGACTGACTAAATACTTATTTTCCCCACTGTATGTTTAAACAGAATAAGAGTTGGTGTGTGTGTGTTATCATGTGTTCTTTCTTTTAGCCTAAACAAAAATGAGTTACATTCTACATCTGACGTAAAAGGTAACACCTCCAGGGGTGTAACCAGGAAGAGATGTACATTATAAGCTCAATTCATTATTATAGTAGAGAGAAGTTGTTAGTGTGTTACAGAGTCTCTGCTCAGAGCAGAGCTCCTGTGTTTTGGTTCAGCCCAAGGTCTTATGGTGAGGCCTGCTGAGTGTTATATAAACCTGATTGGAGTCAGAAGATTGAGAATAAGGTTTCAACAAGAAATCCAGCAGATTCCTGTTTATTGGGACATACCATTTTGAACAACGCAGTTTATTTCTACAAACCAGCACATTTTTTAACTGTTTATCATTGCATGGTTAACTGTTGAAGTTAATCCCTTTGTTAGCAAAACACTTCATGAACCACATGACAGATGTTTTTCAAACAATTCTTGACCTTTAAACCTGTACAGAAATGTTTTTTCTCTTCTAAATTGTGAAGGTAATTGCATGCCTTTTTATATTTAACATCTTCATCTATGTCCGGTCATGGAGGCAACAGATCCAGGAGAGAAACCCAGACATACCTCTCCCCTGTGACATGTTCCAGCTCATCCTGAGGGACCCTGAGGCTTTCTGAGGACAAAAAGGATATATAAACCCTCCAGCAAGTCCTGGGTCTTCCCCCTACCAATGAGATGTGCTGGAACACCTCTAAAGGGAGGCGTCCAGGAAGCATCCTAATCAGAAGAACCTCCTTAACTGATTCCTTTCAATCCAGAGGAGCAGTGGCTCTACTCCAAGCTCCCCCCGAATGACGGAGCTCCTCACCCTATTTCTAAGGCTGAACACAGCTACCCTATGAAGGAAGCTAATTTCAGCCACTTGTATCAAGGATCTCATTCTTTTGGTCATGGTCTACACTTAATGACCATAGGTGAGGGTCAGAACATACACAGACCAGTAAATCAAGAGCTTTGCATTTTGACTCAGATCTTTCTTCACCACAAACGACAGAAGCAACACCTTCATTACTGAGGATAAGGCCCTAAACCGTTGATCCATCTACCGCTCCATCCTACCATCACTCATGAACAAGACACACAGAAACTTAAACTCCTCCACTTGAGGCAGAGTCTCTCCCCCAACCTGGAGGGGGCATTTCACCCTTATTCGGTTGAGAATCATGGTCTCAGACTTAGAGAAACTGACTCTTATCCCAGCTGCTTCACATCCGGCTGAGAACCGCCCCAGTCCACGCTGAAGGTCTTGGCCTGATGTTGCAATTCAGTAGCACTGGGAAGTGGACATTTTCCTGCTCCCACTTGTAAATTTAAACTGGAACTCTAGCGGTAAATCCCATTCATAAAGTGGTAGCGACTGCAACTACCCCCAGTTTCGGTTTCAAGATGGTGGCTACTCATAGCTTCAGAAAGTTAACTCTGTAACTTTTACTGTTAGTTATTGTTCGTATTGTTTTTGTGCATGTTTAATCACTCACTAAAGTAGTGTGTTTTCTGTGCATACTGTACAAATTAAAATAAATTTTAATTTGCATGATGTAAATAGAGCTCTCTTTTTGTCATTGTTATATTGTAGCAGTGTTGTAGCTAGGTTAGCGGAAGCAATGTGATCGCCTGTTGGCTAACTAGAATGCAGTTTCATATGGTTTGTTGGGAAATTACGTCAAAACTTCCCAGCTCAAGAATAACAATATAAATGGAACGCAGCATGAAGACACCAATAGAACCACATCATCTGCATATAGCAGAGATGAGAGCCTGTGGTTCCCTAAATAAGACTTCTTCCGCTTCATGACTTTGGTCTGAGATCCTGTCCATAAACACTACAGACAGGATCGGAGACAAGGGAACCTTCCCTTGTGCAGTCTGAAGCCACAGAGGCAACCCTCTTGTTCACCGGAGTAGGAGAGAATCTAGCCTCTCTCCAGAAGTTGGGTTCCAGAGACCATGCTGCATGTAGAAGTGAGGCCAACTATATCTAGCTGATAATTCTTCTTACTCACAAGTGAAGTATTTTTCCATGTCCCYAGAGCTAGTATTTGCCAATCAGAATTGACACTTACTGCCAGCATGCGTCACATCTGGCCTTGATGAGCCTCCACACATAGAGGTGTCTTTGGCCTGGTCGAGCCCCAGGAGCCAATGCTTGACCACCAGCTGGCCTCACTCCTGGTAGGTGCCTTCTTTCCCCAATCTCAGGGTGAGGTTTCCTGATGTAAATGCCATTTCATTCATCAAGGGTTGTGAATCGCTCTTAGGCTGACCCCTTCCCTGAGTCCTGTTTGCCATGGTTGACACTACCAAAACCTAATGCCCTAAACAACATAGCTACCAGGATCAGGGGGGTACTCAAACACCTCCACAACATCAAGGTAGTGATTAAGGAATAAAATATTTGTTTTTATTACACAAAAAAAGTTTTCACTAAGCAAATGAACTTTGACTCTAAGAGGTTATAGCTGTAAAAAATCCAAAGTAACTTAAATAAATTTTTAAAAAATACTAAACATAGCGATGCTTGTTTTGTGGTTTTCAGCAGTTCAACATGGACGTGAAGCAGCACTGTGTGAAGCTGTCGGTGCAGCCGATCAGAGCCCTCGTGGACGAGAAGTTTGTCATCCTGGTCCAGAATGCTCTCCCTGGTTCTAAGATAACTATCCACGCCCTTCATCGGTGTGAAGATGGACAACACTGGCAGGCGTTCGCCCACTACGTTGCTGACACCACAGGGGCTGTAAACGGTAAGAAGATCAGAACCTGTATATGGAAGATGGAGCAAAATGGGTAAAGAAATGTGAGCAGCTCCATAAAGGTTGTGTTTTCTTTACAGTTTCTGAGGACTTCAGTCTGGGTGGGACATATTCAGGGCTCGAGCCGATGGGTTTACTGTGGGGCCTGAAACCAGTTCCAGGGAGCAAACCTGGCCTCAGGTAGGTCATCAGAGCAGATCCTGTCAGTCAGAACTCATTATCAGAACTGACTCTTCTGTCGTCCCTCAGGATGAGGAAGAAGAACGTTCAGATCCCCATGGAGGTTACAGTCTCAGTGTACCACGATCACCAGACAGAAGGCTTTATGGATCAGGTTCCTCTGGCTGCTGTGGTGGTGGAGCGATGGTACATGGCACCTGGTGTTCGCAGAATCCCCATCACAGAGGATGGGCTCACCGCAACTCTCTTCTTACCTCCAGGTAGGAGGAGCAGGAAGTTCTGTTAGAGAGCAGAAGTTTTCATTCCATTTCCCTAAATATACAGATAGATTAGTTTGTTCCTTTTCTTTAAAGAAAGAAAAAAGCACACAAATATGGGGTGCAAAGTGTAAAATGAAATGTTAAAATGTTGAAATTATTTAGCTCACTTTTTGAGTGTTAATTTTTTTCCTACTAACATTTCATTATTATTTAGCTGACCATTCCTACAGTATATTTATCGAATTTGTACTAAATGTTAAATTTAAATATTAAAAAACATGTTTAAATATTAAATCCTAAATCTAAAACTTTAAACGTAAATGAAAATGTAAAAGTTAAACCTTAAATATTGAAGTTAAAAGCTAAAGTTCACATTTAAATCTTCCCCAGAATTTAGATTTTAAATTTTATCTTCAGCAGCGTTCGAAGTGGCTAGCGGTGACCAGCAGCTGCCATTGTAGATGTTTGTTGCACAGTGATGACATCATGCTTGTTATCTGATGCTAACTTCTGCTAACGCTTGTAACTCTGCTAAATATATTATTTAAAATCTAAATTCAAAATGTGCTATTAAAAAAACAATACGGGTGGTACCTGTGGTCCAGCAGTATAAAATGCAATTCAGCCACCTGCCATAACTACAAGTTTGATGTCTTGTATGGAAGCTTTAGCTGCATTATAGCCCTAGCGGTTGCTATTGTCTCAGGATACTAAGGTCCAGAGTACAAATACTTGTTTACTGTACTTAAGTAGAATTTTTGGATATCTGTATTTACTTGAGTAATTATTTTTCAGCCTACTTTTTACTTCTACTTCTTACATTTTCACACAGTTATCTGTACTTTCTACTCCTTACATTTTTTAAAAAGGAAATAAGTAGAAAGATATTGATTTTATTTCGTTTTTGCTTGTTTTCATTCCAGCTTGTTATTGTAAAAAAATAAATACTATCCATATAAATTGTCCCTCCTAGATAAAGTGAATTTAATTGTGGTTGAATGAGAACTGTATATATTTAAATATGTAAATTCTGATACCGTATTAGTTTGTACACAATCAAATCATGTCACACTCCAGTAGAACATAATTATTAAAACAAAAGCATTTGTATTTCATGAATTACATTATTGCATTTGACCCCTAGCCCTCAGATAGATTTCATTCTGGGAAAAGGTTGGGGCTGCCTTGATATATGTATACAAATTGGAGCAGATAGACTATTGCATCCTAAATTTAACATAAATTATTTTAATGACAGTCATTTCTGCATTTTTAGGGGAGATCACATCCTTATAAACATCATTACAGAAAATTTAACTGCTCATTTTAAATCAATACTTTTGCTTTTAATAAGTATGTGGTGGCACGATTTACCAAGAATGCAGAAACACGGAATAAATGCACAGAAAGTCTGCTTGTATGGTCGTCAAACGATTTAATTTGAGCAACAGAGCAGAAGTCAATCAGAGAAGTCAGTCAAGTTGTGGCTCCCACATCAGCGCAGAGCAGCCGATAATATAACATCCTGTAACATGCTTACAACCAATCACAGTTCGCCAGCTGTGAACCATCTAACCAATGACAGGGCTGTCAGCCCGGAAACACCTTATCAAAATAAAAGAGGTCATGCATTGCTGGAGTCTTTAAGTCTGGGCCGATATATTAAAACAGCCGAAACTAGTTATCATGAGATATGATTACTGAACAGTGTCAAAGTAGAACAGATATACATAATTATTCCATAACAACCCCTCCTCTTGAGTAAACAATACTCAAACCAAATCAAAAGGAATAATTATCAAACGTCTAAACACAAATGCAAAAATCAACAACAAATACAATGTAAAAATGAGGGAAAAATAGTGCAAGTTATATGACGACCAAAAACATATACATTCAATCAATGTAAGATTCAACAGTAAAAAAGGCATAAATGACAAATGAAACATCATTACACATCAGAAGAATCGATGAAGAAAAACATGTCGAAATTTAAAAAACTTAAAAGTCCAAACTTCAGACAAGGTATCACAACACAAGTTTTGCCCCACTCAAATATGAATAGTATTAGCCGAGTATGTTCCATCAGAATCTTATCTTGGATAATGTGTTAACTTAATAACAACTAGTTGTCAATAAATTAACCTTAAGTAAATTAGTACAAGGCGAGTTGGAGAAATGCTGAAGCCATTTGTACTTCTAGCAAAGCGATTGGACAAGTTCAAAAGCAAATGATAAAGGAAGACAACAAAACTTCATGAATAAATGTGGAAATGTCATTAAAATGTGCAAAATCCAGTTTCCACCCCATTCAGATAAACTTTATTCCACCCCAAACAATCCAAAATCATAAAAACAAAAATAAAACTCTAAAAATACCAGAGCACACATAAGGTCAACTCTGCAACCCCAGAAAAGTAAGCAGTTAAAAAAACAAAACAAAACAAAAAACAAACAAAATGAAAGTTTCAAAATCACTTTTGTCAAAAACCACAGAGCCCATAAGGCATGAACTCAAATGTATGGATTACTGGCATGAGCTGACTTGTGCAATGAAAAGAGAAAAAAAAGTTTAACAAAAATAACAAACAAAGGCTAAATCTAAAAGTCTAAATAAATTCAACTAAAAGAAATAGCACCCCTCCTCTTGTTACACCTAAGCTAAGCCCTAAAGTAAGCCTAGATCTAGTCCTTCTGTGATGGCATAGATGTTGTTAGACAGCAAATCTCAGCTCCTGGACCTCAAAAACAACCCAGACAGGTGAATTGACCCTCAAATATACAGTATCTTCGTGGTGTATCAGGCTCGAGGTAGCAGAATACCCCCTACCCAGCTTACCACAAATGCAGAAAGGAACAAACAAACAAAAATGTGACTGTYGTGGGAGGAGCCTCCCTGAGACTCAGCTGACAATCACCTAAACTTCACCAGGAAGCTGCACAGAAGGACGAAACACTAGAAAATCATGAACCAAATAAACTAAACAAACCTTAAAAGTAAAAAAACCCCCACAAAAACCCAAACATCCAGAAGTGTCTAATTGTTTGAAAATCATGTTATGAGATGGGCCTCAGAAATGGACCAGGGGTAACCCTGATACCGCCCAGAAGCGGGAGCTAAATACCAACCCAGCTACCCAGGGCGTCAAAACAATCCCTGAGAAAAACCAGGAAAGTCCAAACATTGCAAAGACATAATTACATCTCAGGCAAAACAGTGAAACATTTAAAATGCACAATAATAAGCCAGTCAGAAGAGCAGAAATTTAGTCCAGTATTTCAGATAGGGGCAGTTTATACTGAATTTTTCATGGTGGCGGAAAAAATGCAAACAGTGTGGTGAAAAGCACTCTCACCCAGCTAATTTAGCCTGGGTATAAAAAACACAGTTCTTTTCTCTTTATTTCATTAAGGCACAAGGTGTGTGATCAGAAACCACACCAAAAAACAGGGCCAGAGGTGTAGCATTTTAGAAATCTCACCCAGAGAGAGGTGGAACGTGATTGTGGGAGGGGTGGGTCCTCCCAAAAAGGACCCCCAGGAAATGCCTGTTGGAAAGGCTAGCACGAGGTGGCACACAGTTGGTTCCAGGTGGAAATGGAGAACCCCCGGTGAGAACAGCATTCGCCCTGCGGAAAAACTCACACAAACACCCAGAGAGCAAAACAAAATTTAGAAAAAAATTCAAAAACATTTCAGACAGACAGTTTGTATGTGAAAATGATGATGAATAAATTATACAGTTTTAGTTTAAAATAATATTACTTAAAAACACATCAGTCCTCCATCTCATCCTCATACAGTGGTTTGCAAAAGTATTCATACCCCTTGAACATTTCCATATTTTGTCACATTACAACCACAAACATAAATATATTTCGCTGGAATTTAATGTGAAAGACCAACACAAAGTGGTATACAATTGTGAAGTGGAAGCAAAATTTTACATGAATCAAAAC